CTGACCTTGAGCTTCCTCATAAGAAGGATCACGCATCAGATCCATAAGTCATCACTGGTAACACGCACTGGTTGTACAATCTTGTTTTCAGGTTTTGACGTTAATCTGACGAGCAGATTTTTTATTTATTTATTTATTTCTGAAACTTACAACTATCATTACAGGATTAATTACCTAATGCGATAGTGTACTTCTCTAATTGATTTGTATTAATCATTTAATTTTTGTAACAAATTAGAAAATTGCTGTCTTTGTGAATTCACCCAGAGTACATACAATAAAATAGGTTAGCGGCGCCACGCTCAGAAGGTTGGTCCGACCTCGCGGCTCCACCACCAGTCGTGGGACGTGGCTGCCGCCGGCGCCACACACACCTCTCAGGAACACATAGATTAAGCTGCCCTAATATTTCAGCATTATACAATTTTCCTCGCAGTTTTAAAAACATACGAGGTGAGCGTGAGTTTCCTCCTAACTCTCAATTAATTAAGTCGTAATCTCTCGAACGCTGCTCAGCCGAATTGTATCCGCCGATTGACTTCTCGGTCGAAGTTGAATCCTATAATCATAGAGTAATTAGCCTAATAGTTCTATGCCTATAATATTGTTTACTTATTAGTTTGAGGTGGATTTTGATATATAAAAGTGGTGTGATTTTGTGTATGAAATGTCTGCGCATGGCAAATAGAAATAGATATTCGATGATGATATAAATTTCAAGGTTTGCTTGTCAGTGCGACTAAAGATTCTAGACGTCAACTGTCCGCTAGGTCAAGCTGACAGTGTTGCCGACATTAAAATCTAGATCGCGTTGTAGAGAACACTATAATCACTGAAATAATACTAGTTTTTACGGAATTTATCGCCTAAACTTATTTTTGGAATGTTACGCGATAAATTCCGATTTTAGTTTTCATTCCCCCCTAAATGTTAAGAATGAATTGATTTGATATTGATTCTTGATACAAATGGATTATATTTCAGAATTCAATCTACCAAAGTTTATACATACATCCGTTTTATAATACCTATAACCGTCTCGTTAAAAAAAATCGTTAACCGTTAAATACAATTTTTTCCCGTTGACAACCTCGCTGGCCCGTCAATTCTAGCGGGAAACCCGTCAAGTTGGCAACACTGCAAGCTGACGTACAAATCTCCCAAAAAATTCACAATGTGACATGATACGTTTATGAATTTGGTTAATAAAATACACAAGGACTCGGCTTTACGGTCTAAGACCTTTGCCTACCTCCATTGGCGGGAACAAGGCGGGAACTTGACCATTGGCGGATTGTTGTTCCAATTTTCTTACTAAAATTAAAATAATGGTTTAAAATGGGTTTTGATAGGAAAAGGTGATACAATTATGTACATTAAATGTCTACGTATAAGAACCATTTGTTAAAACGACGAAACAAGTACTACGATGTTCTTAAATTGTTTTACCGCTTAGGCGCCTTTAGAACTTGAGGTACTATTAAGATCGACCGTCTGCTGTCTTAACTTGTCATGAAAATCTCCCAAAAACTCCACAATGTGATACATAAAAATATTGTGAAGAAGTTTTGGAATAAAAGGATAATTTCTGTCCATATTAGAAAGCGGGAACTTGACCTCCGCTTGTAGTAGTACTAAAGCCCCATCAAAGTGCTCTGTGAATCTGACCGCAGCAGGCCAGCACAGGTGTTGATGAATCGAATCTAAGAGTAAGTGTTGTGTGAGTGAATTGCTGTTTCCTGCTGCCCATAGACTTGCTGCTGTTTTACTTTACTTATAATTACTTTAGCGGTTTAACAATGATTGAAAGTGGAACTTAATAAATGTCTGCAGACATGAACAATAAGTAAAATTACCTTAGGATTAGTTTAGGTCAATGATATAATATACAAATATTTTTACGTGGTAGAGCCATGCTGCAGCCTAATTATGGTTACAGCATGGATGGGTCGGCTCGACCAGGGAAGGAGCACGCTCTAATAGAGTACCAGAGTAAAATTGCAGCTCGGTGCTGCTGTGTTTCGTGTGGTGAGTGTAGAGAACCGGAGACCCTTTTCACTGGAAACGAGGCATTCCATCCTAGTCCTCACGGGTGATAACGCATCTGCATATTGATTCTTAATTGAGGATAGATGTAATGTCTGTGGGCCACAGCATCTAATCATGTTCAGTTGAGCAGCATTATTTTTTAGCTGGTTAAAGTAATTAACACTACCAGCGTTTGTTACTCTAGAATAACTGAAATAGACTTGTTTTTATGTTTAAAAGGACTTTGTGAGTAAATAACATAATATACCTAAGACTACCCAACTGAATAAACCTTTTTTTATCAAAGTACTAGTTTAAGTACTTTCACAGTGATCCTAGATATATCACAGTGATATCCAATAATAGTTGAAGTCAGTTTTTGTTTCTTGAAAATAATCCAGGTATAAATAGGTTGGTACTTAATATAACTTCCGATAGTTGCTGGTACATTTTAACTTACAATTTTTATTTCATACTCATTTACACTCATACTCATTCTGCCATTTAAATGTTTTATCTCTAAAAGAAAATAAATAAATGGATTTTGAAACCAAATTTATTGCAAAAACCTTAACATAAATTTATTATTCATCTACTATGCACAATATAATATTAAATTTGTATATGTAGGAGTGAAATTTCATTGTCTAACATTTCATTTGTTATTCTTAATTTAATACAAAATATTTTCTTAAATTTTCAAGGCATTCTGATATCACATTGTTACTAATATAATGTAGGCAAATATAAAGTAGTTAGGTACTTTTATAATAACCAAATAGTTGTGGAATGCTTAATAGCTCTTTGATATAGATAGTTTATATTATTGTAGGTAAATTCTTAATTACATGTTGCCTATGGTTAATTATTATTGCAATCTCAATAATTAATATTAAATACCTTCATTATATGCTAATTTAAATTGACTATTTAATTATTATGCTAAGAATAGTAATCAATATCGAAATTTACTAGTGGCAAAGATACTGATGGTGCGAAACTTTACTATAATGTATACTATATCCATACAGTTTCTATTTTTAAAATCACATTGACAATTACTTGTATAAATATAAAAGTTGTCATATTCTAAAAAAAAAAACAATATAATCTTGAGGGAAAGTGTATAAATAAAATAATATTATTGTGCTCTATCTCTCAAAGATCGTACAAGACATATTTATTCCTACTTTAATATAAGGCACACTATTTGACACTTCTATTATTTCAATCTTCATGTAAATTTTATATCTTTCATTTCACTTTCTACTTTTATTTTTTTAATTTAATCTTTAAGTACACTTTTTGACAAAGTTACATAAAATAAACAAATGTCATGTTATAGTATTTTTATGAAAAATACTGATTAAAACTTTCATTTCATCAATATATTATGCTAACATTTTACAGTACTTTCTAAAAGTATTGCCCCTTCATCATTTTATTCATAGGTTAGAAATAAATTAACGACAACATACAGAATAGTATAAGTATTTACAAAAAAAATTTGAAGATTATTACGAACAGAAACAAAATTAAATAAATTATGTCTTAGATGCTAAAGACCAATTGCATAACTTATTAATTTGACAAAAATAAACCTACTAGTGTCTATCTTTCAAGTCTCACTTCGACTAGTAAATATCATGACATTTCTGTTCCCATATGCAGTGTGACAATTCCCTTGAAACTCTACCTATATGCAACGATTAGAGTGCAATATGTGCATATTATGTCTACAAAATACATAATGATTTCTTATTTACGCGAACACTACACATTGACATTTTGAATTCCCTGTTTCGAGTGATTTACAGACACCCCCCCCGCCCCCCCTCCCCGTGACCATAAAACATCAGGAATTTATAAGTTAGTTAATTAAACGCGATAAAATTCGTATACATAGTCTTATTCAATCTACAAAATACATTTAAATACAACTAGTTTTATAAAATCTGTAAAAACTAGTTTCATCCAAATATGCAGTGTCGAGTAAACATAAGAAATCATTCTACAAAAGACATTAGGTATATTTACTATGTTTTTTATTTTACATAATTTAGGTAAACAATGACTTCTTGACTCCAAAAAACGAAACAAATAAAAAAAAAACTTACTATGAACTGAATGATTGAGTTGCTACTTGAATTATTATGTAAATCACTCATTCATTTCAAGTATCAAATCAAATAAAACTTTCAATTAAATGGATTTTTCTTGTAATAACTAATTTTAACAATATGGCCATACTTTACTTACATGGAAACGAAAGTATGATACCATCAATTAATCAATGATGAAGATAAAAATAGTAGGTAATTAGTACGACTTAAGTACAATTTAAATGCGAAAATTTTGGAATATTTCAACAGTCGTTTAGTTACTATTGAATCGGAAATGACACGCTATACAAACTATATAAACAAGTAAAAAACGGTAATATATTCCCGAGAACGAATTGAAAGGCTATTAATCGGTTTTTACACAATATAGTTTCACAGCGTATCAATAGAGAACCCGAACAATACAAGGTTGTGTCGCAGTGTCTACGGGAAAGCGCCACCGCAAAAAACGCGCCTCTTTCGTGAATTGACAACTAAGAACAATAGGAAGAAACTGCTTTACTCACACTTCGAGAACAGCTTCATATGTCGGCCGCTTTCCAACACCATGCTCTTAAGATAATTGCAGATACGGATAATAAACATTTGCATTGTTCGCGATTCGGTGAAAACTGATTGCTCCACAATTGATCGGTTTGTGATCGAAGCTCATTCGTCTCTTAACGAAAACCGTACGGATTAAGAATTCTTGGAAAAGAAACGGCACTCACTTTACCCCGTTAGTCACAACAGACCTGTTATATGCACATTTAACATCTACACCATTACGTAGGAAACGCTTGAACGTGTATTAAAATACAAGTAGACCACACGACTTTGAACAATATCCCGTTAGTGTTGACAAGAAAATTAAGCAGCACCGGCTTCTTGTTTCTGTTGTATCATTGATTCCCACTGCGCTATGAGACGGGTTGAACTTGGCGCGAGGAATTCCTGACCGGGTGCTAGCTCACACAGCTCCGCCAGGGATTTCGCAGGCTTCAGACTGCCTAGAGAATCATTCCCCGAGCTAAATCTCGGCGATGGTGACCGCAACTCATCATTCAAGGCTTCATACAGCTCCCCTATTGACTTAGTAGCTTTTAATTTTCCTGGCAAGGGAATGTCTTCTTCGTCCGATTCAGAACTGATTTCATTATCAGTAAGATCGATATCAAAAGGCTTTTGTTTTTTTCTCATCTTCTTAAGCTCGTGTTCTCTATCTTTCATTTCTCGAAGTTCCTTTTGAATTTTTTCTTCGACAGGTACATATCCCTTCCGGATGGGCTTCCCTTCAGGAGTGCGTGTAATAGCATTTGGAGCCACTGCAACGGGCATGATTGCCCCTGGAGATATTAAGGGTTGTCCAAAAGTCACCGGCGCTGTCGGCGAGACTGGAGATGTTACAGATATCTTTCCTTTACTAGCAATAAATCTCTGCATGATACCCTTGGTTCCCGTTTGTGGTGTAAACCGGCGTGTGTATCCATTTGTGTTTAAGACAGTTTGCGTTGGAGGTGGAGACGGTGCTATAGGCCCTAGCAAATGAGATGTTGAAACGGCTCTGTTGAGGGTCTTATGAGGCTTTTCTGTTAAGTCTCCATTCACATGACCATTCTGTTTAGCTACATCTATTGTAGATTCGGACAGTAGCCTATTCATCCTAAAATGCCCTTCTTTAAACTCACGCTCTCTTTCTGTAACTTCTATTATCTCCCTTTGTATCCTCGATAGAGGATCTTCTTTCAGCAAAGACTATAAAAAAAAATTGGTATAAGTTACATAATTGCGTCAACTTATCTAATTAAATACGAAATCTGTACTAAGAATAAGATACGCTTGAGCAAGGACCCAAGAAGGTATCGCTGCCAAGAACACGATAGTAGGTACTTAAAAGTGTGTCTTGGTCTCTCGCGGTAACTTCAACATACTTGTTTCTATTGACCTTACGTCTACTTGTTACGATCTCTACAAATAATACAACGCGACTACACTATTTAATAGCATATGTTTTATAATTTTGCAAACTAGTCAAAAGTTGGACATAGGCTTTATTTCAGTCGTCACCTTATTCTGATCAATCAGTACCCATTACAGCCCATCAAAAGTTTACAGCTGAACATTGCCTCCCCCCCTCTCATAAATTGCCTATGCCATGATATTTGCCACAGTTACGCGCTTTTTATGCGCTTGTTATCAGAAAGGCTACTGCCCATATAGTTCTGCTGCACCTACAGCATGATATGGGCTAGTGGATATTCTGACACCGCCAGTACACGGTAGAGAAAAATGTATATAAACCAACGACTGGTCAACGTCCATGCCACGTTAAATACTGACCAAATCATAAATTGTATAAATCCTACAATTTCGTTTCGTCAACAGATTTTTAATCGAAATGATCACATGACCGAAATTGATGGACTAATGTTGTGACCGATAAAATAACTAGTAATTTGTTTTGCAGGTGTCTAGACATTAAAAGGTTTGTAAAGGATGTTGGTTAACGTGACTTTAATCATTTATTTTGAAAAATTATTTGACAAGTGGTAAAATTAAAAATTTGTTTCACCGGCTTCAATATAATTAATATAATGAGAACAACAGTCAACTATGTACGCATTATTGAGGGTAGCTCAAAAACGACTAGTCAGATATTGATTAAATTTATATAGGACTACACGAGAAGTACTAGATTTCAGATAAAAAACGAATCATCAAAATCGGTTCACGCAGACAAAAGTTGTGAGGTAACACAAAAAAAAACATACAGTCGAATTGAATACCTCTTTCTTTTTGAAGTCGGTAAAAAACAAGTTCTTAAAAGCATTACATACCGTCATTATTAAGTCATTAAGCATCTACATTTTATAACATTAGTGGATCATTAACTTAATCATCTCTAGATACAAATTTAAATTAACCTCTTTATTATGATACTAGCTGTTCCCCGCGACTTCGTCCGCGTGAAATTGATTACGATTAGATTCCATGGGTTTTTTTGTTCATTTTCCGATTTCCATTTTTTTTTTCCGCGGAATCCAAATTAAAGTATTTCAAGTCACTCCTTCTAACATCCAACTAACTGCCAGTGAAAGTCCCGTTTATATCGGTCCAGCCATTTCACAAACAGGCAAAAATTAAAAAAAAAATATTTTTTGTTGTAAGTACCATATATACTTCCATATGCATTTAGTAAAAAAGCTATTATTTTGACATTACAAACGGACACTTTTGTTTTATTTATTTGTTTAGATTCTAAATACTAAATTGGTCAAATAATTTAAGCTCTACTATTTGCGTTGATTATTGTAAACTCGAAATAAGAAATCTAGGTTTTTCCACGAACAAATTTCGCTATTGGTGTCGAGAAACGAATCAATTTTGCTGAGATCTCAGTTATGTATTGGAAAGAGGTCAGTCTTTACGGCATGCCGTGCAAAATACTCATCGACCTACGCAACACCGCGTGTTTGACTGAACTGACCGCAGATCACTTTCATCTGACTATATTGTAGCCAGTGGTTGCAGTCTCATGTGACAATATAATGTATTAAGGTAATGTACATGTACATGAATATAACATTTATGTTGCTTGCAACTGTATAAAGATTGAGTTTTTATTATAGACTAGCGATCCATCCCGGCTTCGCACGGGTGATTTCTGGATCTCAACAACAGCGCCACCTGCCGGGTCCAAATCCAAACCATCTAGGGACCCATTAAAACACACACAAAAAAATTTCATCAAAATCGCTCCAGTCGTTTTTGAGTTTTAGCGAAACTGACGGACAGCAAACCATTTTTGTATATAGATCAAAAAATATTTAAGAAAATAATTAAAATACATTACTCTATTTGAAACGCATTCGCATGCGTTTTGAATGCAAAAACAATTATATTTTACATCAAAGTTCATGAAAGTTATGTTTCGTATGAGGGTACGAGGACATTCTAGCGGTAACAGTTAAGCAAATAGCCTCAGTTCTTTACAAATTAAATTATAATAATCATTTATATTAATTCATGGTCATACAAACACGATAAGACAATAGCCACTCATTTGTTAAGGAACGTTCGATTGCAATAAATCGAACAATATCGAAGATAAATTGGTCGTTATCAGATATACAACAGTACAGCTAATCTCGACGCCTGGGACCGGCTTAGCTTACTTCGACACCTCGTAAAAAGATTTCTATACATATTTCTTTATTTATTTTTTGTATAAACACCTTAAGTACAGAAAAACATGCGTCCATCCAACCACAACTACACAAGCACCATCCGATTGTACCGTATCCCCATGCCGTCGACCTACGAACTCGCGATTAAGATCGCGTCTGATCTTAACTAGAGTACGATCGCATTCCAATATCCGTTCGGATACTCACTTCACCCATGGTGGAAAAATATACACTTTGAACAGGATAAACAGTTGATCACTGTAACTTCACGGTTTACACATCACGACACCGACACCTGGCACCGTTGTGAGACAATTGGAGATTGACGGAGCGAAACGTGCGTCGCGTCTGCCAGTCGCGGGCTAACGGCCTCTCGATCTCGTATCACCTCAGTTAATTGGCGCGAGAGTGAGAGGTACATAATCACCTGTAGAAAAGAGAAAGGCTTACATCACCTGGTGTTGCTTTACCGACGCAACCACTTTACCGACTAATCCCTATTTGAAATTCGAGCGCGGATTTACGCGCCGTTAATTTTGGAAGGGACACGCCAGTTGTACAGGATGGGGATGTTTTGGACTTGTCGTGAGCAGCCATGTGTGACCGAATAAACCTTTTCACTCATTAATTACTTTGTTAAGTAATATAATACCGCACAATGCACTATGGTGCAACTCCTGGAATCTAGCAGTTCGAATATTTTTAACAATAAATTACGGAAACAAGTCACACCACCAACGCGTATTTTATATTGAATTGCCTGGCGGTGTCACAGGTCCTCCCCCTGAGTAACCTGCATCTGAGTCTAAGTGTTACATAGAATGTATATAGATTTATTCCTTAGAATAAGGGTAACAAACGAGCACACAGTCCACCTCATGGTAAGTGGATGCAGTGGCCCATGTACACCATATCTATCCTCGATTAAGAACCAAAATACTAATACGTTGTTCCCTGAGGACTAAGATGGAATGCCTCTTATCCAATAAAAAGCTGCAACTTTACGCTGGTGTTCTGTGGAGCGTGGTCCCTTTCCGGTCGAGCCGGCCCATTCCTGCTACAACCATAATATAGCTGCAGCGTGCACTTTAAAAATGTTCAGGGACTCATCCTAATGCATTTGACCACAATTAGGTGTATAACTTTCCTGGGCAGTAGATTAAATCCGATCCGATATGTTAAGTACCTATATCAATGGATCCGATAATATTAGGGCGTTGTAGACTGACCTTTTTTTATAGAACAAGGATGACAAACGAGCACATAGTCCCTATTGGTAAGTGGATGCTGTGGACCATAGACATCTACATTTATCCACGATTAAGGATCCAAAGGCAGATGCGTTGTCACCCCTGAGGACTAAGATGGAATGTTCAGCGGTCTTAAGCTGCTATTTTAATTGTGTGGTAGCTATGTGGTGCTATGTGACCGTCGTCTTACCTCGGTCGAGCCGTACAAATCGGCTACAACGGATATAGCTGCAGTGTGGCTCTACCACGCAATGACCTGCAGCACGTCATCACTTATAGAATATTTACTTTTATTTTAACGAACCAGGCAGTCTTTATCAATTACATACCAGTTTCTGTAATAATGTGTTGCCAAAAAACTATTAGGAGTAATATAACTCCCGTTTCTTAGTTCGTTGTGACCATCTGGTCACAACTACTCTTTTAAGGAAGTTAAACGAAAAGAAAAAATAACTATGTACTGAAGTCGGGGTCTTAATTCTTCGATATCGATATTGGCAATATGTCTTACCCCTTTGAATCTAGAATGTACTGTAATGTAAGAAATATTACTAGTTAAAAGTAAGAACTAGAATGTCGTCTAATAGTAGTACATTAAAACTTCATCCCTAATTTTTTTCTACCATAAGGGGTGATTTTTTCTTAGAATTTATATGGAACCAACCCTGATAAATCTGTTTAAAAAACATAATTTCATATCAAGTTCATAAATAAAGAAATGTCCGAGCATTATATATATATATATATATATATATATATATATATATATATTGATGATGAACCGTGATAATCATATGGTTTACGCAGGTTAACGCTCGCTGTAAATATCACAGTACACGAGTAACCCAAGTTCGATCCCCGCCGGCACCAATGAAATTGTTAATTGCAGTTTAAGTGCTGATTCACCACGTGCTCGTCAGCGGTGAAGGTAAAACATCTTGAGGAAACCTGCATGTCTGAGAAATAAGAAAAAGTATTTCGAAGACATGTGAAGTTCGCCAATATGCATTAGGGCAGCGCAGTGGACACATCCTTGCCCTAAAACCTCAGAAATGAAGGGAGGCCTGTGCCCAGCAGTGGGTCGTATATAGGCTGTAAATCAATGGAAACCAACTTAAAGAGATAGCTTCTATCCGGGACCTAGGCGTTATTTTAGATAAAAAACTGCGCTTTCAGAAACACATTGAAGGCCTTCATAATGCTAGAATTCGTAATTCGTTACTGTAAGGAACTAAAACTAGCTACTTAAATTTTATTATATAACAACACAAGACATTTTTTTCTCTATTTTTGTGGGATTTTTATCGAAACGTCATGCCAACCCCACCATACCTTATACTAACTACTTCTAATACTAAAGAACAAAATATGAGAGTAAAATTATGAGTAGAGTACCTACTCATTACCTACTAGTTAAATAACTGTACTGAAAGTAGTGCGTCACTTATACTGAAGATCTGAAGATAATTATTCTGTCTTATTAGCAAACCGGAATAACTCTTGACAATTCTTGAGATTTTGATTTTGAGTTCGATAAAAACTTTTGCACTATATCGACATCCAAAACATATGCGTTAAATTCTTTCAACACAGCCTATCTTTTTCGTTCTTAACACACTATCGAGAAATGTTATGAATATCTTCAAGAACCAAGAAATCATGTGTTCTGATGACAAACATTGATTTTTTGCTACCAGTATTTGTATCTCCGATTCTCGTTCCTTACTGTATTCCAAAGGAATGTTAGGCTGGCGAATGACCTGAGCATCCGGTCGGGTACGGCGTCTGCTAATATCCGGGTCACGTGCTCGTTTCCATTACAATCCGGATCGTGCTTCAGTTTACTCGTAATCATGTATTGACTTGTATCGTCACTCAAATAGATTCTTCGTAAAACTTTTAACTATATGGAGGACGTGGTGTAAGTATGAGTGATCTATTGGTATTGTAATATGCCCTATATATATATATATATATATATATATATATATATATATATATATATATATATATATATATATATATATATATATCTATTTGTATATAATATAATAATGCCCAAGTTTGGTTGTAATTAGTAATTAATAGTATAACGTGGTAGTGACACGCTGCAGCTTTATTATGGTAGTAGTGTGAATGGATCGGCTTGACAGGGGTAGGACCACGCTCTCACAGAATACCAGGGTAAAATAGCAGCTTAATGCTGCTGTGTTTCGTAACGTCGTAACGCTGTCGAGGTGAGTGTAGAGAACCAGAGACCCGTTTTACTGGAAACGAGGTATTCGATCTTAGTCCTCAGGGGTGACAACGCATCCGCTTTTTAATACTTGATCGAGGATATATTACGTGGATGTATATGGGCCACAGCATCCACTTACCATTAGGTAGACTGTTTGCTTGTCTGTCACCCACATTTGTCAGTCACGAAAATTGGGTGACAACCCAATTTTCGTTTAAAAAATTGGTTGACCCTGCAGGCCATCCCTGAAACTTCCCGTTATTTTCAAATGTAAAGCGCTCGAAATTCCACCAAATTTTGACGTTAATAGTGAAAAATTTTGAAAAAATAGATTTTGCTAAATATATATATATATATATATATATATATATATATATATATATATATATATATATATATATATATATATATAGCAAAATCTATTTTTTCAAAATTTTTCGTTAACGACCAACCGAGATCAATCTAACGAACGAATCAACCGATTATGACCGGACGGCTGATTAGTTTTTGGAATTGATCGGTAAAGCCGTTTAAAAGTTATTCCAAACAAACCGTTTTCCAAAATTTTTATTTTTGAGATTTCTCAAAATCTACCGGTCCGAATTAGTAGGAAATCTAAGTTTGATGAAACACTTTGGAAATCCGCTTAGTTCATTTCAATCGATCAAACCGTTCAAAAGTTATAAGAGGTTTACATATACACACATACGCAATAAGTTAGTATGTGCAGAGGCGTTTCTTCTGTTATGGAACAGAACCGACACATCCTTGAATTGCTTAGTCCCAGGATGAACATGTGCTTTTTAAGACAACAATGTCCAGTTAGGGCTATTGCCGGAATACGCAATTTATTTTTACTTAATCCCAGGGCTTCTGTAACAAATTTACGATCAAAAGCCAGGATTAAGGTTTTAGAATGTTTTAAGCCTGGTGTGTTAGACCATATCTTAAGTGATTTATTGTGAGAGTTTCAAGGGTCAATCGGGCTAGGCTTCCTGAGATTCCACAAAATGGCTCAGGTCCAAATCGTGTACTCTTTGAGCACTCCCATGCAAGTTTGTAGGCACATTCATTGCCTACAATACCCGCGTGACCCGGAACCCATCTTAAGACCACCACCCCGTTATTTATCTCAGGGCGTTAAAACGGTTCACGCAGTCTCCAACTAGCTTCGAGTTCACTAAGTTTGACCTCAGCGCTGGCAGTGCTGGTTGACTATTTTATATAAATTATATGGTTGACGTAGTGTTTTTTCGGATTGATTTCCGCACTGAAGTATGGCAAAAATTTCTGCCTGGAAGATAGAGGTGAACTACCCGAATTCATACTAAGTTTGAATTTGGGGGCGTTCCCCGTAAATTCCAAAGCCTACGTCGAGGCCTCATACGGCCAGCAGTGAAGGACCTATATGAGGACGCTCAAGGTCGCTCAGCGAGCTATGGAGAGGGCTATGCTCGGAGTTTCTCTGCGTGATAGACTCAGAAATGAGAATAGTAAAACCAGAGTGACCGACATAGCCCAACGGATTAGTAAGCTGAGTGGCAATGGGCCGGCCATATAGCTCGAAGAACCGATAACCAATGGGGAAGAAAGGTTCTCGAGTGGCAGCCTCGTACCGGTAGGCGTAGTGTAGGGCGACCCCCCACTAGATGGAGTGACGACCTGGTAAGACATGCAGGAAGTCGATGGATGCAGGTGGCTCAGGACCGTGCTTTGTTACGTTACTT